AACTACCCTTTATAGTATACCCTTTATAGCTACTTATAAGAGTTACTAGTTTATTACAGATAGGTAGGTATTATGTATATTATATCCTCAAAGTCTCAACGTATTYATTTATTTATCTTATTTTAATTAAAAACAATCCAGTTGGTAGTTTTTGAGTAATATTCACTTCGGATAAACCAAGATGGGTTGAAAACATAACACAAAATATCGAAATTATAAGTTTAAATTGTTATTTGATCCGATTATGTGTAAACTATGGCAACCATCAAAACAGAAAAAACTGTTTTCTACTAATTTGCTACTATTACCTACTATACCTATATTTTAATATGTAACCAATGCTCAATATCATGGAAACAAGGCTTTTCAGTTTTTTACAAATTTTATTTATATATAATACATGTTAACCTAAACAAAAAAAATATTCATWTTTCTGGATTGTAATTGAATTACCCTTTAACTACTTATGGGGTTGAAAAAATAAGCTATAAATCCCCTCCAAGTATCAAGGAATCTATTGATATAACTTTTATAAAGCAGTTCATGAGATGCATAATTCACCTATGGCAGATTGTATATAGCACTTGGTATAAACCTAAAGGGGTTCAAACATCAAACTACTCTCTAAACTTTCCTGATACCTCTAAGAACAATTCAATATATTTTCGATCATGTAGTTTTTTGTTATATAAGCAATAATTATACATTTAAGTATTTAACTCTCTATTTATTTTAAGGTTAGGTTTTCTTATCCGAGGCCATAAACGCGATGATTTAATGCATTAATTGCCTGAGTAAACTCTGGCAGCCATTTATACACAAAAAAAAATTAGTAAAAAAAGCTTTCAGTTTACCTGAATTTCTCAATTTTCTAAGCAACTTTTAAATTTTTATTTCCTCAAAAACCTTATGCGAAATATTATGAACATTAAAAAAAAAAACAGCCAAATTGGTTCAGCCGTTCTCGATTGATGTGGATTCCAACAAACAGCTGAACAGCTTTTTATTTTTATTACATTATAAAACAGCATACCTACATATTTTATTAATATAATTAATATACCAGATACCTCTGATACCTATTAAGATAATGTAGCGATGGCGTGGCAGCAGCATCGATGATAACGATGTCGGCATTCAACATACACAATAATGACATAATATTATAATAAGAAGGAAACGATTGAAATTGAAAGCCATAGATTAAGTTACACTGCCTATATAGCATAATATATTAGTCRTTTATAAAACTTATAAATAGATGACAACTTTTTGTCCTTGTCTTATAAATTCCTTTGAATTTACAAAAAATAAAAATAGGCCACTTATCAAGATAACAACTATCCTATCTCTCAAGTTGTACCAAGCAAGAAACATTTACAAAATTTTATAAAAATCGGTCATGTACTCATGTGGTTTCAGAGATTAATGTGAACGGATATCGTGACACGAGATTCTACTTAGAAAATAGATATAACTTAAACAAATGACTAATAAATTAAACTTGCCTGCATTCTCCTGGCCAGTCACAATACCCTTTACTTGGATGACAGTCTTCGTGGCATACCGCTATTAGWACGTTGCGCATAAATAAAACATGTAAATTATTTAGATAATTTTAATGCACCATCCACACTCTTCATAACTTTCAATAAAAAATCATCATTACGTTCTGAACAGAATATGCCGTCCCAGCCTTCAAAGCACTTGCATTCGAAACTATTGTTGCAGTAACCGTGTTGGCAGCCGGGCAGTGCTATACACTTGTTGCACATTTCGCCGTAAAATCCTAAAAGAATAATATCAATGCGATCAGTCTTTATATAGGCAGGTACTATTTTGGTGTAGCACCATGATTTCTGTTATCCATCACTCATCGACACTCACCCAACTTGCAACGGCATTCGGATGGCCGTTTGCAGTATCCTTGAATTGGATCACAGCCTTTTTTGCAAATTGGTACATCGCAAAGGTCACCTATCCACCCGGGTAGGCATTTCATATCACCATTGTCATCGCAAACGTAATGACTTGATTCATTTTGTGTCGCTGGCGCCTCGCAAGCCTATATTGGATAAAGTTAGGTACACACATACACACACACACACACACACGAACACACACACACACACATATATATTAGGTACGTGTCATGTAAATAAAATATACGAAAATCATTATTCTGAACGTATACCTAATTACATAGTATTTATCAAAGTTATTAAAGTATCAAATTCTAAAAACAAATATAATTATTAATAACTACTGATTATAAGAAATTATATACGTCATGTATTTTATTGCAATTGAACTTTCTTATAGGTATTTTAATATTTTATTATCATTAGTATTATTATTGTCAAATATCGCTACCAAGTACCAACGATCGACTGAAGGTATCACTGATTTATGTTTGTATGAAAGTAGTTATCTCATCCTACGCTGTTTAACTTCCTTCTGAACACAGTTTCAATGGCAGACGGTAGTTTAACGTCTTAATCGTCTTATAGGTAGTAAAAACTGTGTCTGACAGTAAAAATATACTTAATCAGTTCTATACTAAATACTTTAACACAATGGCATAAATTATTTTATATACTGCAACACTTTTAGTAACAAGAAATTATTGATAAAATTCATACACTAATAAATAATTTCAAAGTAAAAATTCTTGGTTCGTGATTTATAATTCTAAAGATGTACAGAGGCGCAAATCTAGGGTTGCAGGGGGGGGGATTGATACTCGATGGTCAATTTTCAGACATTACAATAAGCAT